CACTGCAAGCGAAATTATAAGCAAGCGTGGGTAGGAGAGAAAAGCTTGCTCTATAGGACTGTGAAGGTGCAGAGCTTTTTCTGCACTAGAGGACTGCAGAAATACTTTGTTGTTAGATTTATAGATGCTAGAGATCCTAAAGACGCTGCGATAGAAACCCACGTCTAGGCACAGCTTGCTGAGTACAGATTAACACAACAAGAAATTAAGGAAGAGCTGCAAATATTAGAAGAAGCTGTAAAGACTAATAAGATAGGATAGTTTAAGCGCATAGGCTGGCTAGAGTTCTTTAAGGACTAGAATCTCGCTTATCTAGCGCATTAAGCCTGCCTGCCTGATCACAGCAAGCGCAAGATTAAGCTGGCTGCTTAGCTGACTGAAGGGCTGATTAAAAGAAGCGTAAAAGGACTAGCTACGCTCCTGCAAGAGTTGAGGCGCTGGCTGCGGAGCGCAAAGCGAGAGGAGCCAGACGTGCGACCGTTGGCGCGCTTGCAGAATCTGGAGAGTCAGGCAGTGTACACAAGCTACATGATGAGGTTCGTCAGCTTCTATCTGCGGGTACTAGCTGACGAAGAGCAGCGGATTGTGCGCTTTGGAGAGCAGCAGAATGCAGCCGCTTATGCAGAAAGCTGCTCAGCATCAGGCAGCGAGGAGGACAGCGAGGAGGACAGCGAGGAGGACGATGACGGCAAGAGCAGTAAAGCTGATAGCGACAGCCCGCGGCCCTGACGTACAACACGCAATTGAACGCAGCTAGATAGGGTGAAAGATGCACGTGAGCTCTTCACGTGGACAGACAAGCAGAAGTTATTTAGGATTAAGCTATAGGACGCGCTAGATAGCAACAACAGAGCAGCTTAGACAGAGGCGCTTCTTGTGTTAATTAGCTCCTTTGTCTTCACAACATATTACCCTATAGCGCTGTCTACTAGTCTAATTCAGTTTCTAGCAGTGCTTAGGTATAATATAGGCATAGACTACTTGCAGACTAGGCTGGCGGAATGGGTATACTCCAACGTCCTTCGTGGGTACCCCCCAAAACCTTATCAATAATACATGGATTCTAGCGAACTAGGGCTGAAAAGAAAGAGAAAAACCACCTCTACATTTTTGTAGTAGAAGGTTTTGTTATAACTATTAAACTGCACAAGCTAGAGGCTAGAAAAGGTCAAAAAAGGGGGGGTACCTAGCGAGCATACCTATTAATAGGTATACTTTGCTAGGTAGTGTCAATAACTCAGCTAATACTAGGCAGAATTAGCTAATTCTTTTTTTATTAGAAGGCGCAATACTAGGCGCTTCTATCGAATAATAGATTATGTAAGCGTATCTCTGCTAGTTAAGAAGCTATAAGCCAAAACGTAAAAAAGCATACCCTACCCATCCGCCAGCCTATTGCAGACAGCAAAGAACTACTTGTATATACTAGCAGGGATAGTGTACTGCGTGCAGGTAGTTGCAGTTGAGGCGCTGCTCCTAGGCTCACAGCGCAGCGCGCAAACTGAGCTGGACTGCGATTGCTTTGTAGAGATGCGGCAGAGGTATCTAGCAGATGGCTCGTTCAGCTTGATGAGCGAGATGATCAGCATGCTCGCGTACGGCAAGCACATTGGATTAAACGCTGGCAACTCAGGCAACGCACACTGGTCTCTGGACAGAAAGACGTTTTATCTAAACAGTTGTCTAATTGCTATCAGCCGTTTCTGCAAGATGGCGCAAGACTTGCTGGCTGAAGCAGAGCAGATGCTGCAGGAGCTGTGCTGGATTAGAAAGGAGGAGGACTAGGTGACTATTAATCTTAAGCAGGTAGTTGATGATGTTACATTCACAAAACAACGCTCTCCGTATGAACAGCTGCGCATATGGCCCCGGAGGGGGCATCTGTGCGCGAACCCTGCATCCTGATTGGCTAGCTAGCCCTCGCCTCACGAAACCCCGCCAGGCCCAGGGCCATCTGCGCGGGGCCATCTGCGCGCGATCAAACCCTGCAACCCTGATTGGCTAGCTAGCCCTCGCCTCACGAAAACCCGCCAGGCCCAGGGCCATCTGCGCAGGGCCATCTGCGCACAAACCATACAGCGCCTCACAGTTGC